GAGGCCAGTGGGCAGCCCCAGAGAGACAAGAGGGAGGGGAGAGGCCCGAGACGTCTGTGTCACCCCCTCTCTGCTCTCCCCCCGCTGAGCCCCGAGCGGCCGGGGAGAGCCCAGAAGAGGCCCCTGGCACGGAGGGGGAGGGGAAACCAGTCTGTGGGAAGCAGCTTGCGGGGGCTGTCGGCCACGGACCTGCCCCGGCCCCGCGGGGCCTACGCGCTAGAACAGCACGGTTACTTGCTGGCCCGTCGGCCCCACTGCAGCTTTGGCCCGCGAGCGCAGCGCCCACGGGCCGGCCGAGGGTCAGTGGCTATATCCTGGGAGCCGGGTGCAGCTTCTGGGGGGGGCAAGGCCGAGGGCAAGTGGATCCAAGCGTTTCCAACACCTGGGCCTCGTGTTTCGTCCGCACCTCAGGCGCCGGCTTGCTAGCCCACTCCAAGGGGCGTTAATTTGCTCTGCAGGCTCCATGCTGACGCTGAGACCTGGCCAGCTACCCTACAGGGTCCCCGCTGCCACGTAACCTCCACCTGGCCACCCGCTGTTCATCCCCCGGCTCTGTTCTCCCCCACTGGCCCTGTATCCCCCCATGCTCTGCTTTCCGCAGCCTCTCCGGATACCGGCCCGCTTGAGGGCATGAGGCTGGAAGGCAGGACTGCAGAGTCCTATTCCTAGCATGGCCACGGCCCACGAGTGACTCTCTGGAGAGTCGCAGCTGCTCCGTGCCTCAGTTTCCCCTGGCCCCTTAGGGAAACGCGAGCAGCGATGCTCTGGGAGAAGTTCTGACGGCCACGAGGGTTAATCTCTGCAGGATTAAATCTGACCCGGTCCTCCTAACCCCCTCTCGGGCACAGGAACAAGCCGTTGTTCAGATGGCTCCGTTACCTACCACGCTCCCAAAACCCTTCCCTCGGCCCCGCGCACTCAAGGCTGCGCCCTCATTCTCCGCGGGGAGTTAGCTTCCGAGAGCAGCCGTCCAAGCCCCCGGCGCCTCCGCCCGATGCGGTATGTTTAACCCGTTCACGGGCCCCTCCTAACCCCCTCTCGGGCACAGGAACAAGCCGTTGTTCAGATGGCTCCGTTACCTACCACGCTCCCAAAACCCTTCCCTCGGCCCCGCGCACTCAAGGCTGCGCCCTCATTCTCCGCGGGGAGTTAGCTTCCGAGAGCAGCCGTCCAAGCCCCCGGCGCCTCCGCCCGATGCGGTATGTTTAACCCGTTCACGGGCCCGCAGTGCGCCGTGTGGGCCTGGCAGGGCTGGTCCGGC